TTCCCGGCGATTGTGAAAACTACTGGAAAATGTTTACCTTTGACCCCCCAAAGTACCAACTAGATTCACTTTCCTATCAGAAAAGGTACTATTGAAGAAAATCGAAGCACTTTTACTGTCCCAAAACGTGATGACAGACACAAAAATATAAATAAAAATATAAATAAAAATATAAAAATATAAAAATATAAAAACATACATCATTGTAAAACCAATACATTCATCGCTCCGCTCAGAATCTAAAATTAAACATAACAAAATTTGTATGCGATTATCTACCAAAACATAACAACCAGCATTTTTATATTTATAATACCGTGAAAAAGGTGAAATAGTGACTTTTAAGGATTCATTTAAAAGAAAGAGACTATTAGTAAAAAAAAGTAACTATTAATGAGGTTTATAATAAAAAACTTTTTTGTGATTTTGATATTTTTGTTTAACTTAAGTAGTATAAAATTTAGTTCTGGAAGAATGAAGTGTCCTACCTATTAACTTAAATAAGAAACTAGGACATAATGGTTTATATTGTTTATAATGTATTACCTAATATTTTCATCTGTCTTCATCTACTTTGTTATTTTTCATTGCTGCTGACTGCTGTAGGCAAATTGTTCGAAGAATCAATAGATTCATCCATAATTGTTGAATAGGATACATTAACGATTAACCTAAGATTATTATAATACAGATATCAGAGAGTGAAACTATTGTAAATTAATAATCTAAAATAACAGTAAAATTGCATTTAGGCAATAAAAGGTCTTTACTCTTTACAAAACCAGATAATTTAGGGTGTTCCAAAATAATAATTATACGATTTTTTTCATAAAAAAAAATCAAAAATTATCATTTCCACCCATCATACTTACGAATTACGATGTTCCTTTTTTTGTGGACCTTTATCGGTGAAAGTCGCTAAAGTGCAATTTTACCGTAACATATTGTAAATAAATTCATATTTCATACTTACTTGTTTGTTTAAAGTATTAGTGGAACTAGAAGTACTAAAATAAGATGACATTTTATTTTTATTTTCCATTACAAAAACAATAAGTTAAACGAAATATTTATGTTAAACAGTAATAATAATATAATAATATAGCTAGTTCAACGAAAAATCACAAAAGGATTAAATCACTAATGCAGCGGTCAGCGACTGAAGACTGGATGTCTGGATAGTGGAAAGTGAATAATTCTAATAATTCTATAGTGTAACATAAATAAATGAATAATAATAATAATGATAATATAATACTCTACAAAGTATTCTATTTATAATTTAGTATTTACAATAATATTACAATGTTATTATAGCATTATATAAATATCTAAAAGTTGATAACTGATAAGTTAATTATAACATGTCAACAAAACAATAATATAATAATAATTTCTATAAATAAAACAGAAATTATTGAAACATTCAGAATACATTCGTTTTGACTGAGACAATTTAACTGTAGGGCTTGTGAAACATTATTCATTATTTTTAAAAAAAATGTTCTTTTTCCTACTGAAAAATTAATAAATAACAATAATTTAAAATAAATTTATATGAATCAATAAAAATCACCAGTTTTTTTGATATTCTACAAAGTTTTTCACCAGTCACCGGACTATTTTAAAAATCACCAGATCTGGTGAAAATTCACCAGACCTGGCAACACTGAGTCAATTGTAGACGGATCTCGTAAGACTACTTTACTACGGTACTTGGGTAAAATACAAATTTTACAATTTATATATTATTATATTCGTTTGATATTATTTGAATAAGTAAATAGTTGTTAAACGCTACACGATAACCAATATTGGTTGGACACTATGGCGATTGACAATATTATAGACGGATCTCGCAAGACTTATTGAATTCCGTTTTGTAAGATTTTATCAATATATTTAATTTAAAAAACATGGATCTCGAATGGCATTTGTTCTGTCACAGACCTTCTGCGCATAACTTCAGATATTATTCCGACAAATTTTACAATTTAGAAATTAATATTTTAATTTGATACTATTTAAATAATTAAATAGCTGTTGAACAGTTGCTACACGTTGACACGGTGGCGTTTTAAACGACATAATAAATAATGATGATATTATAGACGGATCTCGCAAGACTTATTGAGTTCCGTTTAGTAAGATTTTATCAATATATCTAATTTAAAAACATGGATCTCGTATGGCATTTGTTCTGCCGCATAACTTCAGATATTATTCAGATAAATTTTACAATATTATTTTAGTTTGATAGGTACTATTTAAATAGTCGTAGTGAATAGTTGCTACATGATGACCAGTGTAGGTTGAACTGCCACGATGGCGTTGTGAACGATGTAGGTAATGAGTAATAACTATTATAGACGGATCTCACAAGACTCAATGAATATCATGGCAATAAACATGGATCTCGCGACTCATATGTATTTTTACTGTGGGTATATACCTTGCGTGTACCTTTTATGTATAAGTAATTTTTGTCTGGATCTCTTGTGGTATCATCAATAATATATTTTTAAGAGTGATTTAGTTTTGAGTACCTATAGTAAACTGTTGAATAAAACTGACTAAAATATAATGTATAATTTGGATTTGGTAGTGTATTACAGTGCCGTAGCCAGAAAATTGTTTTGGGGGGGGCACTTAATTTTTTTCTCAAATTTTGCAATGCTAAAATAGGTACCTGATTATCACCTATTACTCTATGGTCCCTTTGTTTATAAAGTATTTACTACAGGCCTATTATTTTTATGACTACCATTATATGCTAACAACTATGGTACCTATATATTTAACATAACAAAGTATAAATATTACCTTTGTTAAAACATAGATTGATAGATTAATGTATTAATTAATATAATAATATCTGTTGGCGCTGAAAATTATCAAATATGATAATATGCTAATCTGCTCGACGGCGACATCATCCCTCCTCCTCCTACCGTGATTTATTGTAATTGTTATTTACCATATGTTTTTTGTTTTGTCTATGTGTGATAATTATTGCTAGATCGTTGGCCTCGCGATTATCAATGTTTTTGTTTTGATTTTTGTGATATCTTATTGCGGACAACGCCCTTTTGTTGCACACACACTAATACATTTTATCGCTCGTACATAAACACGTAAATTTATTGTTGTTCGTTCATATATGTATATTATACTCTCGTCGTTCGCAAATTATTAATTGTTAATTCTTTTTCTTTTTCCGCTATTGCAGCGCATACCTTTTTTATATACGTCTGTTACTTTTGTTTTAGTACCCTTTTGGTACACACACAACGTGATGTGGTTATAAATTATTGTTAAACCTGTACTGTGTGGTCCATGTAACCAGACCATTATTATTATTACTTGTGTTGTCATTGTGACTTTATCTCACGTCGTTATTGAAACGACATAACATAATATTATTGAAATAAATCCTCGTCATTCCGAACAGCAACCGTGTGAGTCTTTCTATTATTATTAACTATCTGTGTGGAAGTTGGCCTTTGCCGCGTTTTCGTGTCCTGTGCCCACCAACTACGCCCAGTCCGACACACGGATCGCCGCGTAAGTCCGCCAGCAACGAACGCTGTGTGAGAGGCCGCCCAGGTCGTCCAGATCACCGCCGGTCCAGCTCAACCACAGCACAAGACTTCAAATAGGGTTAAGATAAATTTAAGTACTGTTCCTGTTTGTTGTGAGCTCTGTGGTCATTGCACCAGACCGAATCGACCACAGAGACCCCCCTCCCCATAACTAGCCTACACCATCAACACTCCGTCAATTAGGTCTTTCCTATCTTCGTCGTTGTCATCGTCGTGCGTAGAATTGCCTACCCACCAACCATCAGGCGAAAGCACCTATAGTTGCCTACCCACCCAAATAGTCGGCGCTAGTGGTGGCATTGGCCCACCACAATCATTGTACCTATTCTCAAATAGGTTTTTATACGCTTAAGAATTGAAAAACTTCTTTCAACTGAAGCTGTTGTAACTGGCAGGATTGTAAAAATTTTCAATATTGTATATCGTTACACTAATGACAATACCTAGTAACTAAATTTTTAGTACTTTTCAGGAGAGACAAAAAACTGAATAATTATTATTACACGTTGAGTACATTCTTGAGTACATGATGTTTTTGAAAATAAAACATGGCATCTTTAAAATAACAGTTCAAACAAATTATAATAATTAAAAACTTAAAGATAAAAAAATAACATATTAGATTATAACAATCAGATTAGATCAGTCTTATGATCAGATTAATAATAATAAACATCATGTTTTTGAAAATAAAATATAAAATCTTTAAAACAACAGTTTAAGTAAATTATTTAAACTTGAAAATTAAAAATAACATTTTAGATTATAAAAATACAGTGTAATAATATGTAATGCAGATCAGTCTTATGATCGGTACTATTTTACAAAAGAATATAAATTAAGGATAATAATATTATTTAAAATAGTATTATGAATGACTAGACTTTACTTTTTTTGGTTTTTAACTCATTTTGATGTAATAGTGTGTCATAAAATGAATGTGTGTCGACCGGTAAGACTTTTTTTAGTTTTTGCAGGTCATTCCATTTTGATAGTGTCAAGTTCAATGGTTTTTTATGTAAAGGCTTGTATTCAAATTGTTGTTCTTCATTCATTCTTATGACTTTGTTTCTAGGGATTTTTTTTTTTTGGTATTGCACAGAATGGGTCATCAAATGAAAGTTTAAAGTAAATGCATGATGTTGATGGATCATATAATAGTTCACGAATATCTTTAACTTCTGGCTCTCCCTTCCCAATACCAGGTCTTATAGAAGTATACATATTTAAATGTTTAAAATCATAAAAATAATTATGTGTTAACAGGATTGCTTCAAATGGACTAGGATTGATTCTAGATTCTGTTGTTAATCGCACATAATCAGAAGGCAAAAATATATCTTTATTTTTGATTTTTCTCTCTATAAGGGAATGTGCACTATCACATCACATTTTTTTTTATAACAAATAAACATCTTGTAAACTGTTAAAAGGTCCTTCTAAATATAAACGATTTGTTCTATCACGACAGTAGTGAGATGGCATTTTTGCCAGGCTGTTAAACCAATTTTTGAGATGTTTTAAACGTTCACAAAAAAATGCTCTTCTAGCAATACTTTGTGGTGATAATTTGATTTGACCTGAAATATCATATGTTATATTTTTTGATTTCTTTGGAATACCGTGGTTTGATTCATTTATCCAACTATGTAACATACATTCATTCATTCCAAGAGTACCCAAGAACATTTTCTTACATACTTGTAAAGCAGGTAAATCTTTATATTTTAAATGATATGTGTATGTGTTTGATCGTCTACTACTATCATTATAATATCCTGTAGTATTACTTTTAGTTACTACTTTAGTAACCATATTACATGCTAAAGTCTTTTTTGCTTCCCATGATGCATTCCAAAATGTAGAAAATATTTCAAATCTTTGATTTTTATCAAAAGATTGACAAAAACGGTTTTTTGCTTTTATACAAAATTTTGATTCACACGTTGGCTGTATATTTCTTGCTGGTCGCTGTACATCTTGAGTAACCACATTTCCTTTCCTCTGAAAACCTATGTAACCTTGGCCATTCATTCTCAATCTCTGACTTGTTATTCTTTTCCATTTGTTTGGTTGAGCTTTAATATTACGAGAATTATTAGCTTCAGATTGTACATTATTCACATTTATATTAATTTCTACATCCATTTGTTCATTTTCATCATTTATATTATTTGGTTTCAAAATGTCCTCAGTTAATGATTCATTATTTGCCAGTGGAATTTCTAACATCTCATTATCTTCTTCAATATTTATATCAGAACTCACAGTATTCACTTCAAAATTTTCTAGTGGAATTTCTAACATCTCATTATCTTCTTCAATATTTATATCAGAACTCACAGTATTCACTTCAAAATTTTCCAGTGGAATTTCTAACATCCCATTATCATAATATTCAATATTTATATCAGAATTCACTTCAAAATTATCTGTATAACATTCTAGTGGAATTGCTAACACCTCGTTATTTTGTTCAATATTATGTATATCATAATTCACAGCATTCATATCAAAATTATCAAATTGTGCATTTTGAAACATTAAATTATTTTGTACAATATACTGACTATTACCTATTTCTTCGACTGGATTAAGTTCAGCTTCGCCGAAAACAATTGTAGCAGTCGAAATGGTATCTGCTAAATTTTGAAAGTTATGTTCATTATTTTTCACATTATTATTACCACACAAGTCCATCATTAGTTTTAATCTGCGTCTCTCCATTGTGCCTAAACATATTAATTTACCAATAATATATTATATTATGATAAATGTAACAGTAGGTAGTTATTATAATAAGATAAAACTAACTTTCTATATAATGAATTAAAGTATTTAATAGTTGTAGTATTTATAACACAATAATATTATAATATAATTTGCACAATTCCACGTAAGTACAATGTGACAGTAAAAAAACTATAATCTCAAAATTACAATATCACGTATGTAAGACATTTAATGTAAATGAATACATTATATAAAATACAGCTAGTACGTACATAACTATAACACTAATACTTAAACGTATAAATTATTAAACGATTTTTAACAAAATATTATAATTACCTGTTGTTAAGGTGAAGTAATGATGACTTCAATCGGTCACTTTTTGTACACGAGTGTTTAAGTTTGGTTACGGGATATTACATGTGAAAAAGAGATAAGTGATATCACTGTTATCGATTTGCGAGGGAAAATAGTGGTTTTATCACTATGGCGATAAACAAAGAAAACCACCGCAAAGAGAATACAAATATTTTGATACCAAAAAGTCAATTTCATCAACAATTAAGTTACGGGGTATTGTCATTAGTGTAACGATATATATTAGGAAAAATATCTACTGGACAATTTTTTAATGTATCAAGGGAGTTGGTTGGAATTACTGTTTCTGTTTCCCACTTCATTTGCCATAATTCAAACTCTTCTTTTAAGGTCGAACTATAGGAATCTATTTGTAAGTCATCTTTATAAAATTCTAAAGCCATTTGTAAATCGTCAAATGTGCTTTTTTTACTTTAGACGGTAACAAACAAGAAAGTGAAGATATTAAACTTGAATTTGAATTAAATCTTTCATTAAAAGATGAGAGCAAATCATCTAAATATGGATAGAAAATTGATACCCTATAATATGTGCAACAATCGCCATCATTTACAATATAGTTGGCTCGGTGTTCTTGAGTTCCTACTGTCCGTGGGATGATTGGAGACACGCCAACCTTTTCAGCAATTTCGATAGCACTATCAAAGATTTTTTGAAACTCTTCTTCATTTCTTAAACGATGTAATTTTGTAGTTGTTGTTTCTATTGAATTTGTAGCGGTTATAATATCTATATTTTCTGTCTGCAAATATTTGGAAATTGTGTATGTTATACCAAGTACTCTCTCCATTATAGAACATGTAATCAAAAATTGGAAATTGCATAATGAATTGTGTAATAAAATAGCACTTTTGTCATTTTCTGAAGTCATGAGATCCTCCAGTGCTAAAACAATTTCTAAAAAACCATCGACAAATATTGAAAGAGCTTCATGTCTTTCAACCCATCTGGTTTCACAATATTTTTTTAACCCAGAAAATGGTTTGCTTTCTAATTTTGTTTTTAATATATGTGATCTTTTGGCTGACATTCGAAAAAAATAACTTACCTCTTGAATTATATTTAATGTATTTCTAATTTGTTGAACTTTAGAAGCATCATTTAGGCATAAATTTAAACAATGAGAGAAACAGTGAGTGTATAGTGTATAGAGTGAGTGTATAGTGTAGCTTTAGGATATTCTTTTAATATAAGTGCTTGAACTCCTCTAAATACTCCTCCCATATTTGCTGCTCCATCGTATCCTTGGCCTCTCATATGCTGTAAATTTAATCCTAAAGCACTCAATGTACTTATTATTGTCTTTGCTAGTTATATTCCTGTAGTACTATGTACTGGTACAAATTGTAAAAAATCTTCTCTCATTTTATTTACATCAGCATCAAAGTAACTTATACAAAGAGAAAACTGTTCAACTCTACTAACATCAGTTGTTTCATCAGCTAATATCACAAAAAATGTGTTTGTTTTAATTCTGTTATAAATGTTAGTCTGAATTTGATCACATATAATTGAAATGACTTCATTTTGTATATCAGCACTGATATAAGTAGAATTTTTACCACAACTTTTAATATGATTTAAAAACAAATCATCACCACTATCAATACGGTAACGTAACAGAGCTCTGAAATTACCGTCGTTATGTAATGGCAAATTCAAATCTAAGGTACCTGAATCATGGCCACCTCGAACAGCAAGTCCTTGGCGCCCACAAAGAATTACTGTTTTAATTATAACTTTTAAAATATCTCTGTTCCTTTTTATTTCACTCTCATTTCTTTTATGTAACTGGATGTAGACGTCGTTTTGTTTTTTATCAACTATTTTTAAGAATTCTGTAACTTTAGCCATAGAAAATTTGTGATACTCATTACTTTCATGTTTTTTAAAGTACTCAAAGCATCTTTCCAGTTAATAAATGGTTGATGAACTAATGACTTTGGAGGTGAATACATACCTTTACTAGCTCCGTCTCTTTTGTAAAAAAACACAAAATACTTACAAAACGCTCCTTTTTCAAGATCCGAATAGGCCAACCAATTCCAACGTTGTAACCAAGATAAATTAAATTTTCTTCCTTTTTTCCAAACTTTTTTATTGGAAAAGTATAATTGCCATCTGGTGTCCATGTATTTCTTATAATATCTTCACATTCAAAATCCTCTATTTTTTTAATACAATTCTTCTGGATGTACTTACCAATATCATTTTTGAAAATTTGATTCTCAAAAGACACATCAGGTACCAATAACTGAATATATACATTATACATTAACAAAGTTACAAAAACATTAATATACACACAAATACACAATCACATATTCCCATTAATTTATTAAAATAATAAATGTGGAATTTATCAGAATATATTTATGAATATTTAGCTATTCAGCTTTCAGTATTTGTTAATGTTAATATAAATAGATTACAGATACCTATATATATATATTAGATAATATGATATATATGAAATACAGATCACTAATTAGTATGCCTATTGAGTACCTAGTAAATGTAATTTATAAGAAACATCACAGCACAAATTATAAAATAAAATAACACTTGACACGGCTGAAGCCTGACACCATAACAAGTCACCAAAAATTATAAGTTCAATGAAAGTATCTTTAATTTAAAATACTAATGGGACATTGGTATTTGGTAACATATAGTACTCAGTAGTAGATTAAATATTGCTGCAAGAACAATAGTCAATAATAAATCTTGAACATGTTAGATTGTGTTTTTACACAATTTATATAAATATGCACTCTTATAAAAGTAATAAATTATAATGAAATAACGAATCACATATGAATCTAAACATTATTCTCACCTGTTGTTCATTTGTGATGAGATCATCTGAACAGACCAAATCATGAACTGACTCATTATTTTCAAGTACATGATCTGCACCTACATCATTATTTGCACCAGATTCTGTTTGCTATAAAATAAGACACAAGTACATATATGGGAAATTTAAATCTAAATTCTAATGTAGCTATGTTGTTGCACTTCATGAATTAGAATATTACTATTCCATACCATTTCCTCAGAAGCTTCTATATTATGTATAATATTTTGTTTTTTTGTAAAATAGTTCAACAAATTGCTCGAAGTCCTTTTCATAATGACTTTATAATACTTATGTTTATTTATTAATAATAAATAAATTCAAATATAAATAATAAATATTATAAACAAATAACATTGAATATTTTAATTTAAAAAAAACAAAAAACAAAAAAGGTTTATGAAATTGAGAAATTGAGAAGGAATGTGATAACATAGAGAACAATCACCGGTAATTTATTATCTATGCCAATTAACTATAATCATAGAACAATAATTAACGGCAAATAATAATATAATATCAAATAATATACCATGTCACCATTAACTATGTACCTACCACTCCTATATAATATAATATTATATGATACTTATAAGTTATAATCAAACCATAACCGTGTTAACAACAAAAATGGAATGCACTTGTATTTCTTATCTGAAGTCTGTGCTTATCTTTACTATTTTACATTTATGAATACAAATTATAAAATTAATAATTTATTGTTATTCGTTATCATAGATTTATCTTGAATTATATAAATTTAAAAATTTCTGTGCGCTGTACTATGGGTATTTGGCCAACCAAAAAAAAAAGTATTTCGGGGAGGATAGATGGCTATAATTACAAAGCTAAACTTTTAAGTAAAGGAAGTAAGTCCATAATTATTATTTATTACTTAAATAATTAGTTCATTATTGAATACTATTGTCTATTACTATAATTTTTATTTTTATTTTGTGAACAACTATATTCCCTTATTATGGTTCTCTTAGATAAATATATGTATATATTTTTATTTTAAGCTGAAGAAAATGTAAAACATTATTTAGACGAAATTGGTGGAAATATTAGTATGTTTACAAAAAACTCAAAATCCAAATGATGAGCAAAATGATATACAAAAAAATAAAAACTGTACTGAAAAAAATGGCAACTTTAGTCGATATTGTTTTGCCTCGGTCAATTAACGATACAGGTATTAACAAAATAATTTATACAATTCATTTTTAGAACTATTATTTTCTTTGACACTGGATTGTGTGCCCGTTTCTTAAATTATGATCCGGTAACATACTGTATTTATATTAAAATTTGTCATGTTTTATGTTCACAGTATTTCCATCTGAGATTGGCAAGACCGTTATAAATGATGAACATTATAGTAAAACACACACACAAGAACAGCTTCTTCCATTGTGTAATAATATATCATCTATTAGTTCTATAAATGAAAATGAAAAGTGTAATGATGAAATGACGACTTCAGTTGATATTGTTTTGCCACAAGAAATTAACCATGCAGGTATGAACAAAATATTTTATACAATTCATTTGTAGAACTGTTATTTTCTTTGACACTAGATTGTGTGTACGTACGTTTCTTAAATTATGTTTCCAGTGATATAATTTATTTATATTATAATTTTTCATGTTTTGTGTAGCATTTCCAACTAAGATTGGCAAGACCGTTATAAATGATGAACATCATAGTAAAACACACACACAAGAACAGCTTCTTCGATTGTGTAACAATATATCAACTATTAGTTCTGTAAATGAAAATGAAAAGTGTAATGAAGAAATGGCAACATCCTCATTAGGAATACATACCACTAAAGAAGGTAATATTATATCATATATTCATTTTGTTTTATGTCATTATACTTTAGTTGACTTTAAATATTTTATTTTTCATTTTATTGCAGCCAATTTTAAAATAAATAAGTATTTGGAGAACATTCAATCTAATGGGATTAATCGTAGTCACAACCGAGGTATTTTTAATAAACTGTAGTATACTTAACATTATATATTTAACTATAATATATTATAACTGTTATTCTTAACATTTATTATTAACTACTTTTAATTCTAATATTTATTTTGTTATACAGATTTAAGATCCAGTAAACATAATGATCGTATGAATGTTCATTGTTTATACAACTGAAGATAAAAGTTACTTATCTGATAGCTTGGATGGAGATGAGGATTCGGGATCTGAATATTTGCCATATAAATCAAGTGATTTATCATTCACCAGTTCATTACTACGTGAAATGGGTAGCCATGTAGATAGTAATGAATCAGAAAAATCTATAATTCTAGATACTCCTTGTACTTCAAAAGCAACATTTCCAGAAAATAGTTTATTAGCTTCAACTTCTTCAAATACAATATTTCCAGAAAATAGTTTACGTGTGCCTTTTGTACCAAAAAATTTCAATTTTGATGGGGAAGTGGAAAAATGTAGAAAAAAAGCTGTAACAAACAAAATAATTTGGGATAAATTAGATTATTGTATATTTTGTGAAAAACAAGTAACAAATTTTACTAGACACATATTAAGAAAGCACAAAGATGAAACTGAAGTAATGAAGTATGATATGTTACCCAAAGGCTCTGCTCACAGAAAAAAACTGACCGACGTTTTAAGAAAGAGAGGAAATTTCCTATGCAATGTACTAGTAGAAGAAGGTAATAAAATAAAGCCTGTACGCGGTCCGTATGAGTTTGTGACTAAACCAAGTTCTGTAAAGGAATACTCACCATGTAAACATTGTCTTGGTATGTATAAAACAAAATATTTACATCGTCATTTTAAAATTTGTAAAAATAATACAACAACATGCAAGAGTAGAAATCGACCACAAGCTGATGGCCAAAATTTGCTACTAACATTTACTGATACAGACGAAGAACTTATAACAAAAGTTTTCACAAGAATGGCAAGTGATAACATTTAATTTGTTGCAAAATCTGATAAACTAATTAAAGCTTTTGGATCACGTTATTTAAAATGCCACAAAGAGAAACATCTCATAGATGTTGTTTCTCAAAAAATGAGAACATTAGCTCGTTTTCTAATATCTGTGAGATCTTTAATTCCTGAAATTCACTCACTCTAAGAATGTTTGACACCAAAATATTTTGATATTTTAATTAAGAGT